CTTCTATATCTCAAATTCTGTCCTCACATTAGCTCAGTCTGCTCTGTAGACCTTCAGTGGAGATTTTAATGTCCTGGAAATCTGTTTGCATCTGTTTTATGGATTCCATTTGTTTCCTATGTTGGGATTCCATCATGTTCCTTAGCTCTTCTCTAGATTTATTAATCATGTCTTGCACTATGTGCACTATTTCTGCTGTTATCTGAGAAATTATTTCTGATTTCATTTTTTCCAGATCCTCTTTTGTTGCCAGTTCAGGGAGTCCAGGTGGCTGAGTATCAGAGTCTTCCATCTCATTTCCCTTTGGGGTTGCTGTAGGTGATCTGAAAGTCTGGTTTAGAGGCTTGTTTAAGTGCCTTCTCATTTGATGGGGGGTGGTCAGCATGTGTGTGTGTTGCTGATCCCTGCAGGACTCATTTCCTCTGTGCTGGGAGCGGTGCTATGGTGGCCCAGAATCCTCTTCCTCTGCCCTGGCAGCAGTGCTATGGTGGTCCAGAAGCCTCTTCCTCTGCTCTGGGAGCTGTGGTATGGCAGCCCAGATGCCTACTCCTATGTGCTGGGAACAGTGCTATGGTGACCTGAAAGCCTCTTTCTCTGTGCTGGGAGCAATGGTTCCTGCTCACAATTTTCTTGAGGACTCCCAGAAGCACTCAGTACCTGTAAGTAACACTTTTCTTTTAAATGTGACTTATATCTCTAAAGTTATCTTAACCTTTTGAGACGTTCCTAAATTTGTAGAAGTCAACATTAGCTTTGACATCTAGAACCTAAGACAAAAACACTAAGGTGTTTGTCTCTCTCTGTGATTAAATACCTGCCCTCTACTGCCCACAAATACTCCAGAATGCTTCTAATCATGTTGACATTTCCATACTTAGTGTACAAGTCATTATAACCACTACCATCATGAAAACATTTAGAGGTGCAGGGCTTTTCCTAATGGATGAACTTTACCTTTTTTTAATAATGTTTATTCTTACTAAGAAAAGACAAAACAAAAAAGAAATATTCATGGAAATCAACACAAAATCAACACTATGAGGGCTTCCATAAGAAAATTGGAATTTTCCAAAATTTCCCTTTATTATTACTTCCCCAGTTGGTAGGAGTGGTAAAAGTACATTATGATATGCAGTAGATAATTCAATTATGTACTGATAGATTGAATTGCTATTCTTTTTCATGTAATGAATATAGTACTTTGATTTGAAACTATTCTGTTTAAAATGTAAAAAACTCTGCTTCACATTCCTTCAAAAAACTTTTTTAAAGAACCATAATATCTGAATGCATCATTCCTTTCACAGTTGGAGAACTTATAATTTATTTGTAGTCATATCATTTCATTGTATATCACAAAGCAGAATCTATTATTTAAAATATGGGAAAAATTAAGAAGACTATTTAATTCATGTGATGTTAAAGGTGATGTAGAGATTTATATAAGAATTTCATTGTTAATGTCTACATTTAGGAATCTATAACATGATAAAATTATAATTTTTTTCTTTTTTTATGCTTTTTTTTCTTGTACTGGAGGTTGAACCAAGATTTTGGGACTGAGCTACATCCTCAGTCCTTTTTTATTTTGCTTTTGAGACTAGGTCTTACTAAATCATTAAGTTTTCTAGGCTGGGCTTCAAATTGCTATCCTCCTGCCTCAGTTTCCCAGAGAGCAAGGATTGTAAGTTAGCATCATCAAGCCTGGCTGATGACAAAATCTTTTTTTTTTTATTGGTACTGGGGATCGAACTTGGGTCCTTGCACTTGTGCAGCAGGTGAAGAAACCACTGAGCTAAATCACCGGCCCAACAAAATCTTTTTTAGGGAGGAAGTTTTAATAAAAACATGAACCAATTTAGTATATTCCTGGCAGAAAACATTAAAGTTAGGAGAAAAGAAATATATATATCTATATGTTTTTAGTAGACTTAAATTTGGTTTTGGTGGCTATGGTGTACTTAACACTATCTTTTTTTAAAGTGCATTTTAGAGTCTTTCAGTCAAATACCATTCATTAGTAGAAAATTTTTCTCACTGGATTTTGGAGGCACCATAGAATCTTTAATCTTTCACTTTTCTCCATCTTCATCATTAAAATTTTTCTTATAATTCTATCATGTCTACTTGAACTCCTAAAATGACTTACTGACTCACCACACTTCTATTCTTTTTCCTGTACATGTCCTTCACTGGCTGAACAAGAGACTTGAGTACATCACTCACTTATTTGAAACTTTTTAATGATTTCTTCAACATTTTTAACTCAGTGCACAATGTCTGATATAAGTCATCCACCCCTCCAGGTTCTCTCATGCTTGTTTATGAGGGTTCCTGAGTTCCTCAGGTCAGGGCTGCTAATCTCTGTACTATGGTGATGGGCATACTATTCTTAAATGTTGCTGGCATTGTTCCTGTGTCCACTCACTACACTTCAACCACATTGGTATCCAATTACTTGTCTAAACTCACTAAACTCATTTTACCTTAGGGCCTGTAGGTTTAGTCTTTCATCTGCCTGCAACCTTCTTCCCTTGGGTCTTTACTTGGCTGGTACATTCTTGTAAATTGAAGAGTAATTCCATAGTCAGTCACTTCCTTAGACAGGTTTTTCCTACCCAACTAATCTAAAAATCATCTTCCTCCTAATGTTCATTACTTTCTATGGTATTTTCCAGTATTTAAAAAAAAAGCACTTGAAGCTATCTTAAAATTATGATGTTCTCTCCTTCCCTTCTTATTTCCTACCCTTTCTCTTTCTCCTTTCCCCCTTCTTCTCTCTCCTACATTGCATCCTTCCCTCCTTTCTTTCCTTTTCCCTTACTGGAGACTTAAAAATACCTAAAGTGAAGCTTTCCATACAAAAGGCCCTTAATTATGTCTTTTAAAAAAAAACTTCAATAAATAAAGCTCTCTTTTGAATAGGAATCCATACAAATTGATTTTCCCTAGGAATTATTCTCTAGCCAACTTTCACCTAGCTAACTCCTTCTGAATTTAATACCATTGCCTAGGGAGCCCTAGCCTAGTCATTATAATATTTTTATTGTTCTCTTTACTTTGTATTATAGAACTTAATAATTTACATTTGTAGACAGAGCTTAAAGACTGGAGACTATATATATATATATATATATATATATATATATATATATATATGTTATGTTACTTTTTCTGTTTCTGGGACAAAATACCTGACACTCATAAATTAAAATATAAGACATTTATTTTGGCTCATAATTTCAGAAAGTACACTCGTAGTTGACTGACTCAGAGACACAAAACTTATGACACACAAAGGTATGGCAAACGAAAGGTGTTTGCTTCATGCCAGCTGGAACCAGAATGAGAGAAGGGAGGAGCTGGGAACGAGAATGCACTCAGGTCACATCTACCTCCTTCAAATAGGTCTCTCTTCCTAACAGCACATTCAGCTATGAACTCACCAGTGGAGTAAATCCGCTGATGAGTATGGTGTCTTATGATCAGATCACCTCCTCAGGATTCCACCTCTGAACACATGAGACTTGGGGGACATTTTAGATGTAAGCCTTCACATGCATCCATTGTAAGCACGCTATAAATTTTTACTAAACACACAAGGAGAAAATCCAGGGTGTTGAGGTGTTGATGAAGAAACCTAAGAAGCTTACTTGTTTTCAGAGAATCACCCTAAATAAACCAGGTTATAGGGTCACTCTATTTAAAGTTAGTGTCATTTTACTTTGTGATGATGAATGCCACAGGAAAACTTGTTATAAATAATAGTGTTTCCAGCATAATGTTGCTTAATTTAAGAATACATTATTCATTCATCTGTTGATGGCCATCTAAGCTGTTTCCAAGATTTAGCTTTTACAAACGGTGCTGCTATAACCATGAATGGATAAAGAAATGTGTTTTTTAAATATACAATAGAGTACTATTCTACCATAAAGAAGGGTAATCTTGAGAAATTTTCAGATAAATGGATGCATTGTGAGATCACACTTTTAACTGAAATAAATCAGACACATATGTTTTAATATTCCATTGTTCCTCTTGTGTGAGAAACAAAAGCATGAATAAAGACCAAAATGGATGATGATAGATATTGGCAAGTAGGGAGAAAATGCTCAAAGGGAAGAGGAAAAAGGGAAGGGGTAGGGGAAAGAGAAAGAAGGGAAAAGAAAAATAAAGAGAATGGAAGGAAAATAATTGAAACAAAGATTTGGAAATGGGGAGGGGAGGAGTGTTTGTAGGGGGAATGTAGAAAAGATATATTACGTATAGGTACAAATTCCCCATGATGAATGTGATCAATATGTATGACAAATATGTACTAATAAAAAATAAAGTTAAAAATACATTAAATCAGAGTATTTCCTATACTGTAAAATAAAAGATGAACTATGTACTGATATTTTCAAAGAACTGAAATAAAAATATTTTAAATAGCCAACTTCAAAGCTTTCTATCTTACTAACTTTGCAGCATGTCTTACTTCACTTTAGGTTATGCCAACCATATTTTAATACATTTTTCAAGTTAAGAACCGATATAGCAAGAGGCATATGAATCTGTTAAGATTATTTAGAATTATAATTTTACTTAAGAAATCTTAATAAAAGATCTCAAGGCTTTATTGGACTTTAAAAAATGATTTTCAAGATAACTTCAAGGATGACACAGTGGAAAAGTTATTGCTTCCCATTCAGCACACTCATGAGATGTTCTCTGATTCACTGGATACAGAATGTGACTCTGAATGTGGCAACTACAAAGGACACAGGCTGATGGGGGGTGGTATCCAGGAGGTGCCACTTCACTAACTGTGTGACTTGAAGCCTGTTTCTCTGTCTTTCTTTGAATTTGTTTTCCTCACCTATAATTAGGCTTAACAATATGTTTCATGGGTTGCGGTGAGACTTAGCAACATAATATGAGAAAAATAATCTTTGTAAACTATAAAGCATATACAAATGTTATAGTTATTTTGAAAATGTTGTCAGTCTTGCTTCCAGGGTCTCCATATAGTTGGAAGAGTTTCCTTAAGGAGGAAATGAGAGTTCATGAGTACAGAGTCACCAGCAGCCCAGAGCTCAGAACTGCTGCTGTAGAGGACAAAAAGCTGTTGTCATATCAAAGGAACAGTATATTGACCTGTGCGTATACGAGATAGCAAGTTTTTGAACATTTCCTTGATACTGTCTTCCCTCTGACCTTGTAATCCTGACTGTTTATAGCATGGAAGTAACATCACACAGTCAGTCATGATATATTATTGTTTAATGGTTACAGTCACTGGACAGCTAAGATACCGAGAAAGTCAACAACTCTCAGAAAGATACAATGTGGAATTGGGATTGGTAAATACCAAGTACAGAGACTATTATGCTTCCAGGGAAATTCAAAGTTGTTGATCAGGTGAGTTCTTTTCAACACACTATCCTTAACAAACCTATAATAACAGGTTCCACTAATTTTGTCCTATGTACTTGATGTGGATGTTCATTAAAGAGATTTTCCAAAAGGACAAATCCATTTCAAATCTTTGGAACATGATTCCTTGTGATTTGTTCATAGTCCAATTTTATGACCATGATAAAAAGTATTCATTGATGCCAGGGATTTAGCTCAGTGGTTACGCCGCCTGCTGCGCAAGCGCAAGGACCCAAGTTCTATCCCCAGTACCCTCCCCCCAAAAAAGAGTATTCATTGAGATAACTTTGTCCATTATATAATGTGACAATGTTGTGACATCATGGAATTTAAAAACATTCTAAGGGACCTAATAACCACTGTTCTTACAAAGGCAAAAGAGTGTTCCTCCCTTTCAACCACAGTAAATACCAGATACTCATAATAGAGACCACTGAATGTCTTGCTTAGAATTATTTTTTAATTCTCTCAATCCCTACCATCATAATGAAAAATGATGATACATGACCCCCTTTCTGCACAGTTTTCAATGCTTATATTTTCCAAGTGAGATAATGCGACTCAATCTAATACATATCTTATGTATAAATTCAAAGCTGATTTAATGGCAATGGAATTTATCTTTATTATAATTCTGGGATTTGGTTCATAATATATAATAATAGCACATTCTTGCAGAATTTCTTTATTGGTGTACATCATTTAAGCAGTAAAGAGATTCTCACTCTCAATGCTATGTCATCAGAATTTGTTAAATTTATGGAGAAAAATTAAGAATTTTGGGACAGATACCTTTTATATTCTCTTCTATTTCTAATCACCCTGAATAGTTCTGATGTTTCTCTTTCAGTACATATGTTCAGTGAAAACTCATGCATATTACATCTAATAGGATTAATTATCAGCCTTCCACTAATTATAATTAAAGCCTCCTCAGGTAATTGTGTAAGTTAACTTTGGCAATTCACACATGCAGAAGAGTATTTTGTAGAATAATAGCACATTGTACTGAAAAATACAGTAAAGAACATAAAGGGTAGGAACACAGGATAACAGAATTCAGAATTCTAATATATTAAACTTTTCTTATTGTGTGTTGTGATGTGTGTATCTAATTGCAAAAAGTGTCACTAAATATATTACATTGTCTGTCTTTCTATATATAGTAACAATCCTTTAATGCAAACCTTATGACAGCAGGCATTTCTACTAAAATTTACTTCTAAAACATATAACTATTTCTGCCCTCTTACTAGATATTAGTATTCTAAGTTCTTGTTAAATAGCTTATGCTTTAGCAATTAAATGCCCTCAGAATTGCTAATTTATATGCAACACAAATGAAAAAGCCTTTCCTCAAAGCATCTATCCTTAAATGTACAAATTAAAGCTTTCTTCACTGATGAAGCTTATTTTTAAGCTGTTATTTATACCTAATGGTGAGTTTCTGTTACTACATTAAGAAGTCAGTGTTTTGAAGATGCAATATGACACCAAAATGGCCATGTTTTGAAATTATGGAAAGCTTCATTGCAAAGTCAGACTGTATAATCTGTAACCAATTTGTGTCAGCTTTCTGCATAGAAAAAAAAATCTCGAAACCTCTCTTAAACCAGAAATCAGCTGAAGGTTTGTCTTGGTTTCATGAGCCTAGCACAATTAGGCAGCACGTGAATGTGGGCCACATGCGTTTATTGCTCTTCCTAGCATGTGTTACTTTGATGTGTTAGGTTGGAAGCCTCACTCTTTTCTGGGCAGCCTTCCTCCTGGGTCTTTATACTGCTTAGCAGTTGAGTCCAGACTTTGAAACACAGCCTAATTTAGAGGCGGATGCTGCAGCTGCTGCTGTCATTTCAGATGATTTTTTTTTTTTTTTTTTGCTTTGATGTCAGCTTAAAATCTTGGGGGTTATATCAGTAAAGCAGTGTCTGCAATTCGCAAAACAGAAAGCACACCATTTAAGCTTTTGTTTTACTCTTTAAACTGAATTTCAATACCTTTTAAACTATCAAAAATTGTAGCTGAACAAAATATACAGCACTCTGTATATTATTAACTAGAAGAAGGGTTGAATAAATACTATAGAGCTTCACTGATATTAATTTAATATTAGAAATCAATATCTGATAAATATTCATAACAATAAAGTGGTCTCTTGTTTTATCATTTGTTTCATTTCCAAGTCTGATTAATATGGCATGGTATTTTCTCTTCTAAATATTTGTATGGCTTATCTTCAAAACATTTTTTACTCATTATTAGTTTGTCATTATGAACTATGTGCTTTTTCTTAACAGTGAGCTTACGAAAGCCTTTGGGGACAGGACAAATAATGGACCTGTTTACCTTCATTTTTCACTAATTGAAAACCCAAGGTCTGAGAAACTGTAAGCTTATTGCCTTTCTAAATTGCAAAGAGCTTCAGTATTTCCAAATAAATTGTTTCTTTATATGAAGATTAGTTTTAAAGCCTAAAACAAGTGAAGATTTGGGGGTTAATTACTACAGAGCATATAGGACCATATGAATAGATTTCTTCTGCTCATCTGATGCAGGACCAAAAAATCATGCCAGCTTCTTTTCTGAACTTTCATTGTTAACAAGGAACATTTATTATCAAGGGATGTCAAGGGTTTAACATGTATGCAGTTAAAAAAATAATTTTGAAATAAATAAATTGCCACTGGGTATACCCAAGAAACTATACATATTTCTTGTTTTGGTATAATTTCAGCCAACTTCAGAGAGCAAAAACAAGGGCAACTTTATTGTGGTATATCGGCAATAAAGTAACCCTAAATTCTACTTACCCAAATTTTTGTGATAATTATCTAATTTATTTTCCAGCTGTTTAAAATTTGTCATTGTAGTATACTCTAGGGAGAATTCTTTCAGAATATGACCATGATACATTTTTTCTTGGGCAAGAATGACATTATTTATGATAACAAATCAGAATTTTAAAATGATGTTTATCTTAGATTTATCTTAACAAATTTTGGAAAAAACCCTACACATCTCAAAAGGGAAATGGTTTAGTGAATGTTGTGTAGCTACCCAATGGAATATTATGTAATCATTTAAAATGTTTATGAAGAAATTTTACTATTATTGCACAAGTACATAGAGAAATATTATAAAGTTAGTTAAAATGATAAAGAAAACACGTATGATGGTAATAGCAGCTGTCTTTGATTAATGAGAATGTAGCTTTTCTTCTACTTTTTATATATTCAAAAATTTTATATTGAACGATGGTTTAGAACTTTTGTAAAGCTGGGATACAAAATGATATTACATGTAAGTTGCTCTACTTATATGAACAAAAATTTTTATTAGCTGTGTTTTTAACTTAAAAAATTTACATTCAATCTCATTTAATTTCTTAGATACAGTATAAGAAATAGCAATGCTAATACTTTTTTTGCTTTTTCTGGTTATAGAACTTTAATTTTTAAATTTTTACTTTAATCATACAATATATTTTAGTATTACATATAGAGTCGTATTATAATATGACTTCATTTCATTTTTTTGTCTTTTTACAAATAGATTTTCTAAGGTAGACCAAATTTGACAATGATAGTTATTATCACTTGACCTTTCTGAAAACACAAGATTCTTTTAAATAGTAAATAGTAAAAATTATAGCTAAATAATAACAGTGAAGATATCTATATACGTGTATTTATACACACACACACACACACACACACACATATCCTGAAGTTAGACTAAATCTGAAAAGATGTGCACTGTTCAATATGGTAGCCAGTAAGCTCATGTGGCTTATTAAATTTAAATTAATTAAAGCTACATAAATTAAGAATTCAATTCTTTAGTCACCCAGGTTCTATTTCAAGTGCTAAATAGCTATGTGTAACTAGTGGCTTGTGATTGGGCCACAGATACAGAACATTTCCTTCATTACAAAAAGTTCTGCTGGAAACCACTAATGATATACATGATATTCTGAATAATCAGTTATCTGCTCCTAGGTTTAGCCTTTTTAGCATATTTGGGGAGGAGAAAATTGAGGTCATTGTATAAGTTTTCTTTTTAAAATTTTGTCATTAGACATTTTTGAGACAGGAAAGAGGAAGGCAAAGTCTCAGCATGTTTTGTTTGCCATGTGTGTTTATGTGACAAAAGAAAATCATATGCTTGAATAATAGTCTGTACTAATAAAAACCCATTTTTCTTTCCTTTGTTCTTAGAATATTTCCTTTTTTCAAAACCCAGATGTTTCTTCCTTTTCTTGAACATGAACAACAAGGCAAAGAGCTTTGTGCAAGTAGAAAGCGTGGGGGAAACCTGGAGACTGCTAGCCACTTAAAAGGTGAGAGGACGAGGTTTCATATTCAGGAGAGGAGGAGAGACAAGAGAAATTCTCCTATGAAAATATTGCTTTAAATAATAATAAACTATAAAACTAATATCAATGGCATAAATGTGGTAACCATCTTTAAGATATGTATAATCTTTTGTAGCATGCTAGAAATTTTTTCTCAAGGCATAACTGTGCTGAGTATGGTACACATAGTGGAATGTAAGATCAAAGGAGAGATCAGAGTCATATTTTTGAAGGGAATACTTTTTTTAAAGTCATAAATATAATAATTTTCAGTAGAAAAATGGAAGGAGTAACAGAATGCTATAAAAGTGGAATTAAAAACCTTCATTTTATTTTCACTTAATTATTAAATTACATAATTAAGATATATGTATTTTCATAAGTATGTTTCACTGTACAGAATTATTTGCTTTTATATCATAAGCATTTCATAAACTGATTAAAGTCCTTCATCAAATATAATTTTAATTATTTCATTTATATGTGAAATTTTTAAGTGGTCTGTAGCTTTGGAATATATGTTACTTGAATTTTGTTATTCAATACTGCTACATAAACATTTTTTAGATGAATTCATGTCCACATCTCTCACTTCTTTAGCACAGAGCATTGAAAATAGAATTGATACAGTATGGGGTGTTAATTGCTATATTATAGAGTTATGCTTTTTATTGACAAATTTCTTTATTAAAATGTGATTATAATATACATTTCCATTACTAGTGAGTATGAATATCTTTTTCCTAATACAACATTTCAAGAATGGAAACTAAAGGAATAGCATTACTAAAGTTGAAAATTATTTAGTATAATTTTGTATTTATTCATGATTGATAATAAATTCCCCAAATGGTGCAGTCTAAATTAATTTTGAAGAATGACAAAGCATCATACACTAAATTTTATTCCATTAAGGGATATTATTAACTATTCTATAAAATGGAAACAATTCCTTTTCTTATATATTAATCCAGAATTCTTAAATTTAGATTAATTAATTATATTATATTAATAATTAATTATATTAATTAACATTCCATTAAAATTAATGTAAGAAACACATATCAAGTGAACAATAGCATGGTGCCATGGAATTAGTTTCCACACTGTTAATAATGAAAAAAGAATAATAAATATGTTTTAAATTACTTTTGACAAATAGTGACATCCTAAATATAATTTTAATTATGCTGATCTGAGTTTTAAAAGGGAAATATAATAATCTGAAATGGGAAAAAATTTCAAACTTATTTTGCAATATTAAGAAGATAAAAGAAATTGAGAATTATATATATCTGTGCTTATTCATTTGTTTTTTCAGTGGCCTTACCTCATTAAAGCAAAAAGTATATTTTAGCCCCATAAATGGATAAAATTCTATTATACTTTAAAAATTCTTCCAAAGTAACTTCTGATATGGCTTAAATAATAAAAGAAAATAAAACAAAACTAATAAAATAAAAACAGGTAAAATCAAATTGTGATGAACTAGAAAACATTTTTCACCTGTTTTGCAACTATCTCTGTATTTTAATGGAGCTTTTTTTTTTTTTTTTGGTACTGGTGATTGAACTCAGGACCTTGTACTTGTGAGGCAGGTGGTAGAACCACTGAGCTAAATCCCCAGCCCTGGAGTATTTTTTATAGTAACATTTATTAAGTAGCTAGGAGGTGGTGAACACATTGTATGGAAATATTAGGCTTAAAATCACTTGGTATATGTTTGAACTATTACAAGCTCACGTTCTGTCCACACAATCAACTATGGTTCACCTGGTGAGTCTGTGTAGTCGGTCATGACTGGGAAGTAGAGGACCTTCAAAGAAAAGTTGACTACAAAAAACATACAGTGTGTTTATAGATTGTAGACACACAGAAAAATACTTACATAATGCTATTTGGTTATACTGGTCAAGAATTAAAATACAGAAATAAACACAAATTAATTGTACAATAGAATAGATAATGCTTGTTTCCTTTGGTAGAAGAAAGACATTTAGTGATCCTGGAAATGGTGACAAATGCATAGGTATAGGTTAAAGTACTTTACAAAAGAGGTGAGTTCTAGCCTAACTTAATGTTGGTGTAACAGTCTTGAGGTAATTGGGCAGTTTGCATAGGGATTCTCTGGCCTCCAAAGGTTTCTACCATGTGGGTGCTTCACCATTCTCTAGAGTATTTCTCTGGCCTGTATGGTCAATATTGATTCATGAACAGCACAATACATCTCTCTTTAGCCCAGAAGAGAAGCCATACCCAAGTATCTAAGGCTGGGGCTCATAAATTGCATAGATCACTTTCACTCACATTCTGTTAATAATAACTTAGCCACAGTTAGTTGCAAAGGAGTTCAGAAAACATAGTCTCTGCTTGATCAGTCATGTGAGAAGGAGGTTCTATAATTAACAGTTTCAAGGAAGAACTCCCACTTTGTGGAGAGCAGTGAGATTAGCAGTATGCCAACCACCAGAAATACAAATACCAATACTTCTGTCCACTGCATCTTGGGTGCTAGTTACATGTGATGTGCACTGGTTACTAATATATCTAAGTAAGACAGAACACACTTAAACAAAAGTCATTCAAGATAGATTTATTATCTACTGATAAACAGTAAAGGACAGAAATCTTGGATTCATTGTTAGCCAGTTCTGCAAGGGTCAAGAAACCTGTTCTAGGTGAATGCAGTTTTGACTGGGAATAGCCAACATACACCACAGCTGAGAGACACTGGAAGACCTATACACCTCTAGCATAACAGGAGAGAGATAAAAATAACATGACTTATAACTGAATTAGTCCAAGATCACCCAGAAAACTGGCCAGCATCATGTTCTCTACCAAAACAGTAGAATGACTATTATTCAGTCATAGAAAGGATGAACAAAGAATGAACAGTAGATAGGGTCATTTCATATTTAACAAAACCTAGTGATTCATTTCCCAAATAATGACAATACATAGTTTAAACAAATTTGGTATGTCATTTTATTTTTCTCTTTCTCCTGTTATGCTAGAATTTACTGCATTTGTGATCATAGCTCTTCTCCCTCACAACTGAGCTGACCACATGCATAATTTCCTTTAATTATGAATTTTTGTTGAGGAGAGAAATTCAGTTTAGAAAAGAATACTACACAGCTCAAATTTCTTCTGCTAGTTAATGGTACATGTGAAACATAATTTTAGACATACTGTAATATAAAATTAATTTCTTTTGGTTGCTTAATTTTAAAAAGTAGTTTAGAAATCATAAAAATCATTCATATATAAAACATATCTTTTTCATTTATTCTTAAAACATGTGTGCAGAGACAAAGCTAGCTTTGTATGTAGAATGTATATCCTGATTGCTGATCTTTAATATCTTTAATAAATTTCATTTGAAATTATCAATAATTTCTGGTTTCTGTTTCTTTGAACTTGAACTAGAGCTTAAAAACACATTTGAAGTAATCTGAGTTTAGGGTTATCCTGGATTTAAAAGGCTTTGTTTCTATTTAGGATGTCTCAAATTTATTTAAAATTATATATATATATCCTTGACTTTACCTAATGTTTACAAAGTATTCACCTTTTATGGAAATAAGAATTGTTTACCTTTATGTATTCAAATTCCACATTGTTTTGAAATTATTAAGTTATATAAATTCACTAACAGGCCCAACTGAAATAATATTGCCATTCCAAACATAACTTTTGCTAAACATGTAACTCCACCAATGAAACAGACAAGGGATAATAAGCTGTTTTCAATTTCAGGATTCTACAGGGAGAATGGAGAGCTTAGATAAAAGCTGCTGTGGTACAGAATGTGAAACAAAAATTAATCCTTGATGAATGCTCATATTTTCAAATTTTCTGTTCCTTCTCCTTTGTTTTCATTAACACTATTTTCATTTTTATCACCATTAATGTCTGAGATCTTGATACAGAAAACCTGCCGAAAATTGTGACGATAGAAGATGTGTAACATATTTTCAAATATGTGCTAATAAACAAAAACATGTTTGATAGCTATAAATTTAATTCATTTCAGATGATGAAGAGTCCATTTAAGGTACTTACCCTGTAAAGGTTAAGTAACAATTTCATGTTCTAGTTTCTTGGGGAATTTTTTTGGAAAAGGTAATGAATTTCATAAAAATGAACACATGAAAATATAATTAGTAACAGGTTATCCAAGTGTTGAGTAGATAAGCAAAAAATACAAAAAATGACTATCACCAACTTGTTTGTTGTATACACTTTAGTTCCTGTGCCTCACGTACATTCTTCTTGCCTGACTTTTGTTAGAAAAGGTCACATTTTGAGTAATTGGCTGGAAGTATAATTAAAGCTAATTAACAAGTAGTGCAAGCTAGACTGCACAATTACAGAAATGATTTTTACAGTGATAAACTGTAGCAGAAAGTTAGAGTATTGCAGTTCCTAAAAATACATTTTTCCCTAAGTCTAGTTTATATTGCTTTCATGAGATAAAGGAAGGGCAGACAGGTATGAAATTATGCATATATTTGACAGTATGGTTTTTGGAAATTGTTATTTCTCCCTCCAGTCAACCCAACCCATGTGTCTAGCCAAGTTAAATGGACCATGATATTCATTTTACAAATAACACTATAGAAAAAACAGCTTTTTATAAGCAAAGGCACTCATAGAATAATAAAATTGTATTTATTTTTATTCTTATGCCTAAAATCCTGAGAGTTTCAGATTTTTTAAAACTTCTAATGCAACACCAATAGCATTATACTATAAAATACTTGTAAAGAAGCATGAGTTTGTCGAAGAAATTTGTTTACACAGGTGAATTGTAATATTCTATCTTTTTTGATTCTCTATAACCTAATATTCACATACATAGCTAAAGTAATGCCATTCCCAATAGAAATATATATATATTTTAACAAACTCATATCTGCCTTTTCTTGGGTTCTAATAAACCTTGAGCATGGGCTTTTTCCAGTGAAATTTTTACCAACCATACCCTCTTCCCAAATATGTAAAGCAGAAAGAATGAAGAAAGGGTTCTTATACCTCCCACATCAGTTCCATTATGTTAGGGTTGATTTACCAATATCAAACTGTAAGAATATAGAACTTTATGCTCTCAGGAGCTGCTTAAATTTGTGGGATGTCCTCTCTCCCATTCTGTATTTCTTCTTTCTGCTCATGTTCTCCAAGACATCTTAGCTTGAACATTTTCAAATTACCTTCAACTTTCTTCTCCTTACATCTAACCAATGGGTGATGCTCATTCTTCAAAATGTTTCACAACTA